ATGAGGGAAAATTAATGAGTAAAAATTAACTTTCTCCGTTTCATGCATATTATATTTTCCATGAGCATAATTAAAGCCCTTTGAATCTAAGACACCATTTTAAAAACGTGCCTCTCCCTCCCTAACATGATCCCAAATCACCATAAGGATACTTTCCCTTCCTACTTACTTGGACTAAAACTCTTTTAATATTTTAAAAAGATTTTTTTTAAAAAAAAAAAAACTGGATTCCTCATGGAGTTGCTCAAAGCAGCCACATGAAATACTAAGGAATCAGGAGGTATCACTTTTGAGAAAGCAGCAAGGGATGCAGGGTTGCATTACATGAGATGCATTTGTACCATTTTAGCTTGCACAGATGGAAATATAGTTCAATGTTTCAACATCATTTGACTTTCACATGTTAAAATATTGATAAGTGCTGCTCAGGATAATGCCCCTGTGATTTGAAGTAGTAACTGGAGCATGATGTTTATTGAAGTGAGATACTGCAAAAGCCTTTAATGAGTGTTTAAAAACACTGGGAATAATTCTCAGCACTAGCCGAGCCTTCATTCTTTTCTCATTCCCTTAGCTGAGCTTTATCTTAGAATTTTAGGAGAGTATAAAAATGGAAATTGGATGACTGATTAACTCAGGGATATGAGCAGCCAATGCCGGATGCAGGAGAGATAGAGTTAGCATAAAAACTGAAAATATTGCAGAAAAAAAGTTGAATATCCAAGCTCAGTGGAAGTGAAGCAGTGAGATAAGTATGAATAGGCCATATGAAAACTGCCATCTAAATATTTATGGGGTTCTTATACTGAAACAGGAGCATTTGGAAACTTAAACAAAAAAAATCCATCATCCAGATTGTTCAAAGCAATCTGTTTTTGCACAAAGCTCAGGCTCCATTTCTGTGATAAGTGATGCTTTGCATGCTATTTTGATTCTGTAGAATAAATTATCAATGCCTGGGAGGCCATAAAATGTGGAATAATGTTCGATTGATATCTTTCAGAGGGAAAGGGACTGAAGGTTTAAAACATTTTCCATAAATGTAAAACTAAGTGTGAGGACAGGCACCTATTCAAATTCACTCTTTTTGGATAGGGCATCAGATTTGAGACAGATGCAGTTTGATTCCCTGTGAAATTGGGTCTTCTTTTATTATTTCATCTCCAAGTAGCTCAGGCTTTTTACTATAAAAAGAAAGGTCTAAAATTATGTAGACAAGTGTTGTGAAAAGATTGAAGAACTTCTGAGAATGTTGGAAAATCAGCAAAAATGATTCTTGGTTTCCTTTCAGTAAGGGCTTACATGCTATGACAAATAGCAGCAAAAAATGTTATATAGTCCTACAAATGCCATTCAGAAATCTTGTACCTGTCCTGGGTTTTAACTCCCTTATGTAGGCTCTCCATATATATATAACAACACACATCATATAAGTCTGTTCACTTCATCTGCCTAATGCAGGGCAAGGAAAAGCTAACAGGCATTAAGCATACATTTGTATTCATATATGCTGAGTGCCAAAAAATTGAGGCCTTTGAACTATGGTGCTGGAGAAGACTCCTGCGAGTCCCTTGGACTGCAAGGCGTTCAAATCGGTCAGTCCTAGAAGAGATCAACCCCGACTGTTCTTTAGAAGGCCAGATCCTGAAGTTGAAACTCAAATACTTTGGCCACCTAATGAGAAGGAAGGATTCACTGGAGAAGGGCCTAATGCTGGGAAAGATTGAGGGCAATAGAAGACGGGGACGACAGAGAATGAGATGGCTGGATGGAGTCACTGAAGCAGTAGGTGTGAACTTAAATGGACTCCAGAAGATGGTAGAGGACAGGAAGACCTGGAGGAATGTTTCCATGGGGTTGCGATGGGTCGGACACGACTTCGCAATTAACAACAACATGCTGATTGAGTTCACACCACACACTAGATTAGACTATTCTATAATGAGATTAAGTAGTATCTGGTTCAGCTTACTTTGCAAAACCCATCCACCATCTTAGTATTCTCCACAAACCAAACAATCACCTTAAGTCATACTGTGGAACATAGCATGTTATGTGAACCCAGAAATTATGTATGATTAATCCAGGTTTAGGGTTAAGTGTATTGTATGAAGTCAGCAACCCTATGATATATTAGCAACATCCATTGTTAGCAAAGTGCTAGTGCCTAATTCCAGCATGTATAGGATCACTAACCAATTAGTGCAAGAACTTGTGCCATGAGCTCAAGGGATGAAGAGACCATTGGATGGCTATGCTTGCAGGATAGTGTGAAGAAAAATAGGACAAACAAGCTGGGGAAACATCTGGCTAGTCAGCATCTGGACATGTGAGAAGAATGGTAGAGTACAAGATAGTCAAAAAAATAGGCATGTACTATTTTAATCAGCTGCAGCAAAACTACAACAAAACACTGAAATATTTTTGTTTGCTTGCTTAATTTAAATATTTATATCCCGCTTTTCCCCACAGAGTTTTCAGTGACTCATAAGAATAATAGTTCAAACATCATTAGATGCTTGTAAGTTCCAAACATCTCCAAGGCCACTAGATTAGGAAGAGCAGATCCCATACAGAAATATTTGGAATTGTGGAAGCAAATGGCAGGTGCACTCACCCAACAGCTGTCTTAGGAAACCTGATCATTGGCAGCCCAACCACAAAACATCTATTTACTCTGAGGCAGATGAGTCCCTCCTGATGAACCAAAAATGCTTTTTACCACTTTGTTTCACTAAATTCTAGACTTGGAAGCAATCTTAAAGGTCATTTAATCCCACCCGATCTGTGCAGAATCCACTGCAGATATCTAACAGATGACCATCTAGCCCAGGCATATCAAACTTGCGACGTCACGTGATGTCGCACGGCGTATCGTGACTTTTTCCCCATTGCCAGCAATGAGGTGGGTGTGGTTTCGGCGTGACGCATCCGGCCCATAGGCCGGCAGTTTGACATGCCTGATCTAGCCTCAGTTTGGATACATGTGGTAGAAAACAGTTACTACTTCATGTAATAGCCTTTTCCACTGATTGACTCCATTTATAGACCAGAGGTTCCTCCTGATTTCAACCTGAATGGCCTTTAACCCATTCATTGTACTCCTAATAAGTCCACTCCATCTTCTGTGTGACAATTCTTCAGATATTTGAAGACTAATATTGCACATCCCTCCAGTTAAGTTTTCTGTAGGCTAAATGTATGCAGATCCTTGAACTGTTCCTCACAAGGTTTGACATTCAAAAGCAAATAAATAATTGCTTTTGGGAGCAGGGAGGATGTAGTGACAAAAATGGATTTCATCAAAAATGGCTACCAAGATGCAATGAAGATAATTTACATATCCCATTTGGCTCAGTCTGTTAAAATCAGATTTTCATTGTCTTTCAGCATAAAAAGTTTGTATGCATTTTGGTAGGACTAGACCCAGATGATTCTGAAGCCAGGATTATAAAACTAGAGGTGCAACCTGATACATCTAGAACTTGGTTAAAAATAAAAGGCTTGCTACAGTTGTGCTTTTATCCGTTAATTCTTAATATTGTTTTGATAAAAAAAATTGGGTGGCATATACATATAAAACACATGGATGGATCCATGGGTATGTGTGAGAGAGGGAGGGAGGAAGAGGAGGAGGAGGAGGAAGAGGAGGAGGAGGAGGAGAGAGAGGGGGGGAGAGAGAGAGAGAGAGAGAGGAGATGGCGCAATGCTATCACACTGAATCTCACTCAACAGAAGACTAGTAGCCAAAACCGATCTTTTACACAGACATAGGATCACACTCGTAAACTTCTTCACTATGTTCTACAGTACCTGCACAATTTCCAGATGAGTCTCAAGGATTGCACCACTGAGAACATAGAGTTCTACCTTGAAGTTGCCAATGAAAAAATAATCATTGCTTCCAGTGACAATGTTAGATTTAGGACACCCCACACTGTATGCCTGGGTCCTTCAGAGGTAATTGTTGCTGGAATTTAATAAAATGATTTATTAAAATCTGTTTCTGTGCAATTTCCACTGATTGATTTTTGACCTACCCTCCAGAGCAATACCAAACTATTCAGCTTTATCTTGTGCATGACAACCTTCTAGATGTTTGAGAAACATTAACCCTTTTTATCTTCTCCAGAGATCTAGAGACCATTGATAGATTTATCCTTCCTCTTAAATAACCTAGCTATTTATAAGCCTTTCAGGAAAGAAAAAATTCAAATGATTATCTTTGGGTGACTTGTTAAGAATTAACAGAATAAGAGAGTTGGAAGGGACCCTCTGCTCAAACAGGAGACCCTATAACATTTCAGACAAAGGGCTGCCCAATCCCTTCTTAAAAAGCTTTAGTTCTGGAGCATCTACAACTTGACCAGTCATCCCACCGGTCAATTGTTATGTCAGGAAATTAATTATCAAAACCATTTATTTCATTAATTTGGTGGTATTTTTCAATATTTGAAGAACGATAATTTTAAAAAATAATATAGTTCTTCTTCTGGTACTGGTGATGCAATTTTATCCTTCAATCATCAGAATAATATGTTATGTTAGAGAAATGTTTGCTTTTGATATTGCTTGCTGGTTTGTAACCTGATCATATTTTCTGCTTCTTATTATACATCTGATAAGGAAAATCTCCATTACAAAAACCCAATCCCCCCCCCAAATGGATAAAACTGCCATTTTATTTAATTATTACATGTGTTTCTTGCCACAGACAATAAGTACAGAAGTGCCTAGATTGGAGAATTATCAAAGCCACACACAAAAAAGAACTCTTACATTATTTTCACCAGTAGATGGCAGCAAAAACACACAGAATAGCATTCCCCTCCCCCCCCCCTTTTTTTTTTTAAGGCCCACAACTGAACAACTCAGCAACCCATACAATTCTGACTCTATCCAATATTTGCTTTTCCTGTTTGGAAAAGGGAAGCTGCAGATGACAATTAGAAGGTAGTGCAATATGCCAGGATACACAAAAGAAAGAAGTCACAATGTCATCAATTCTGAGCAGTTTTTAATATAATGTTATGTGTCCTGTTGCACAGCCAGGAAAGCAAAGCCCAATTCCAAAAGATTTAAAGAACCAAATTGAAGAATCAAGAAAAACATAGTAATGCAAGGAACAAGGGGCTACATACAGATTAGGACTTCTAACGCATTATATGTTACAATATTATCTGAGCTGTTAGAAATGTGTCTTTGTTTCCCAATATTTTGTTTTGTTATCCTGTCTCCTCTTTCTTCCATTGTTCTTTATGAGTTTTTCTGATAATATTTAGATGGGACGACAGGAAATCCCAGGGCTGTAGGCTGGGCTGAGAGGTTAAAAGAAAAAAAATCCCCCAAAGCCACAGTGGTAGACCACTTCTGAACTGCTATCCAAAGGAGTTAGCAGATAGCTCAGCTCAGGCGGGAACTTTGATAGTTATGGGACTCTCCCAGGCAGTTTATGCCACAATTAGCTACATTTCCTGACTAAAGTGTTAAAAAGAAAGCAGTGTGCAGCACAGAAATTTTTCTTGTGATGGTGCCAGACTTAAAGATTAGTTTGGGAACACTGAGACTTTCCATCCTTGTATCTTTGATTTCAGCTAGACTACAACTCCCATTAATTCTCAGACTGCTTGTCTGCCCTGGTGAGAATAGTGAGGTTTGAAGCCCAGTATATCTGGGGAGCAAGTGAATAGGAAGGCTAAAATCCATGAAGATGTCCTTTATGCATGCTGCTAGTGTCAAACGCTCAGTCTTGGATGACTCCAACAGTGTGCCATTTCCAAAGCATTTCAGATAGGGACAAAGTCCTCACACGCAAGTCATCAGCAATTGGTGAATTCCTTCAGCGATCAATGGAAGCCATACTTTCTTCACCCAGCTCTACTCTTCTCAAATAATGACTAACGTTTTGGAAGATATTGACTTTTAACCACCCATCAGGGTTTTTTTCAAACTTGGCAATTTTAAGATGCGTCGCTGGGGAATTCTAGGAGTTAAAAGTCAAGTTGCCAAGTGTGAAAAACACCGATCCGGGGCCTTTATTCTTGGTGTAGCCCAACTTCCGGTGCAACACAATGGTTGATCGTCTTGCTAAGTTTGCGCTCCCTCCCGGACAGAATCTCCCGGGTTCAAGGAGGCGCGTCTTAGGGCACGCGCGCTTCCTCTTGCCCTATGGAAGCAGCGACTAGGGCTTCCGGGCGAAAAGGGGAGCCTTCCAGAACCCCGTACGCATACGTTTTCTCTTGCATACGGGGTTCGGCTCTCTTGGCCGAGTGGGTTCCTTGCCCCAGCAACTCTGACCGGGCGAATGGAATGGGCCCGGATTACCGGAGTTCCGCGACAGCGGACGCTTCCTTGTCAGCCGCGGGTTGTGCTGGGGAATCGTCTATAGGCAACATTCTGCGTTGTCTGTCTGGGCTTCTGCCCTTAAACCGAGCCCCGGCCGAAACTAAGCTTTGCACCCAAAAGGCCCCCGGATCAACCTCTCAGTCTTGAAATTCTGGAGAGCTGCTGGTTGTCACTAGCTGAGTCCGTCACATTTTTATTTTGACCGAAAATTGTATTGCAGCGAGGGTCACAAACTCTTGACTTCTCATGTAGAGCTGCAAAACTCAGTCTAGCTTGGATCAACAGTCTAGCTTAGGAAAGGGCGGGCAATACCGAGCACCTTTTGATCCGGACCGGCTTTCTTTTTTTCGTTTTGATGGGGTTGCTCCACAGGACAAGTAGCTTACGCTGCACCGTCAGGCACTGCTGCGAGATGGGAATCCGGGAACACCAAGCAAGATTTGCTGGGTTGGCACTGCTGTGACTACGGGGAGGGGTCCTAGCCAAAAGCTTGAGGCTGACTTAAAGAGAATCTAAGTCCCCTCCCCACTAAATGAATCAAGAACCCTCCCACGTCTCCCTTTGGATCCAACACTGCAAGCAAAGCCCGAAGATGGTCTTGGCTGATCTCGGCATTGTGCTGCAGCCCACAAACCACGGCTTAGAGCCGCTTGTGGTGGGCGGAGCTCTGGATGGGAGCCGCCTTAACGCCACTCCTTTCACCCCGCAGGTCAAGCCCCGCCTCCGCGTCGTCCATTCCCGGAAGAGGTTCGCTCCATACCCTGCTGTTGGAAATGAAATTGTCCATTCAAATTTACGTACCCACCTTTATTAAGGTAGTAGTAGACGCGAGGAATTCAAGGAGAACGCCTGCTTCTCATGGCAGGTTTCGTCTCCTCTCTCGCTCGTTGGCCAGGATGAGCACTTAGGCAAACGGAGACTATCTCAACTAGCGAGCCGGTTCCCCGAAGTATTGGCGGAGGGAGGGGGGGATCAGAAGAGCGTGCGGGAGAAAGCGAGACGGTGGTCTCTTTCGCTCGCAGATAAATCCACTCGTTCCCAGCTGTTGAAAAGAAAACAATGCTTGGGATCAAAACTAGGTTCCTGTTCAGGAAACAGAAGTGACTACGCTAATTACAATGTTAATAAAGAAACCGATGCTGCTGGTGGTGATTGTCTTCCATCCCAGACCCCCCCCCGGAATTAGCAGTAACAAAGATGAATTTATTACAAAGGAGATCTCTTGGGAGATGCTGGTTGAAGATAATGACCATTATCAAAAAAACAATTTCGAACATCTGAGTTAGACTCGATCAAAACCTTGTCACTCCTCAAAGTAGGAAGTTCCAAAGGTTCCATTTATTGTTGTTGTTGTTGTTAATTGCGAAGTCGTGTCCGACCCATCGCGACCCCATGGACAACGTTCCTCCAGGTCTTCCTGTCCTCTGCCATCTTCTGGAGTCCATTTAAATTCACGCCTACTGCTTCAGTGACTCCATCCAGCCATCTCATTCTCTGTCGTCCCCTTCTTCTATTGCCCTCAATCTTTCCCAGCATTAGGCTGTTTGGGAAAGATTTTTTTTAAAAAAAAAACACCCTGCAATGATTCTTTTAAAAAGCAGCAGCCCTGAATGAGCGGTTGCTATTGTTACTCTTCAATTCCATGATGAAATTATTCACTAAACTGACTCATCGCTATTTTTATAGCATGTACAGCAGCCACTATTCTTAATCTCCTTACTCTGGAAGTAAAAGAGGATACTTTAAATGAAAGCAATGACATTAAAAGCAAGAATTGTGTACGGTTATCCGATTCTCCTACCATTGATGAGATCAACCTTCGTTCCAGCTACAGATCTGCTTTGCTTTGGACCGGGATATTTTGCTGGCAGATATCTACGGTAGAGGCCATTCTCAGTTCCTGGCTTTCCAAGGCAAACCCTGGTCAGTTTGGGGAGAAGCATCGGGGAAGCTTTGCGCGGACCTGGAGAGCGAAGAAGATAACGGGGAGATTCAACAACCTTGTTTCAGAACGAACAGGAATCTGTCCCAAAATGCAATTTATTCCAAAGGAAACCAGCCGCCCGATGAAAACTGGCGACAAATGCAAGCCTCATCACTGCCCTTGCCACAATGCCTGTCTTGCACTTTTAAGGAGACCTTTTCCTTACCTTTAATACGGGCAGTCCGTTTGCTCAGTTCACCAGGCAAAGTCAGTGAATGCTGGCAAAAGGTTTCACCAAATCAACAGGACCGCTTTTTGTTTAATGGCATACTTTGTAACAGGATTTAGGATTTATTTCCATCCTGAGCTGGTGGAGATTTTTAAGATTTAAACCTATATAGGTAGTCCATCCATTCAACAGGCACCTCAGTTTTTTTTTTTAATGTTTCTGAGGAAGGGGGCAGCTGCGAATTGAGTACAGATAACTGAGCAGCATTTAACCACCTTTGGTAAAAGATCACAAGTCAGTTACCCCAGGCGATATTGAAAGCTGATGGAAATGCTCAAAAATTCCCACTCCTTGATTACTGTAAGCTGTCATCTGAACTTGTGAATTGACTGCAAGGAAAATGTTATTTTGTAAGATGGTATCTGAGCCTCTTGAAAAGCTCTTTGGCACAAAGAATATTTTTGTAAGTGAAAAATATAAGAAGAGGGGAACCAGACCTGAGTCTGTGTATTTGCTAGCATGAGGTTGTGTGTTTTCTCCTCTTCTTTAGATGGAACTTTCAAATGAATGTGTTCCCAAAACTAAAGATATCTATTTGTTTTACTAACAAAATTGATATATTTACATTTTGAGAGCAACATAAATAAAGTCCAAACCGATTTTGCCTAATTGCCTTTTCCTGCTTCTTTCAAAAGGGGAGGAAAGATGAACCAACATCATACTTGATTTGAAGATTACACAGGCTTTCTGTTATGCTGTTTCTTGTAATTTCAATGCTGCAAGCGTTGCACAGAAGGAAACGCCACTTCTGAGACTTCCCAAAATGCCTTTGGAACTGGGGTTGCTATTTTGACCGATGTTTACAAAAAAACAGATTTGTGTTGGAAGTTACACAGATATGAGAACACAAATATCAGGGCTGAAGGATTAATTGTGCTCTTTATGCCCCTCCCTTGGTAAGTCAACAGATCTCTAAAAGGATTGGTATACATTTCTAGGAAGAAGTATTATTCAGAGAGTGAGACTTTCCAATTCTAAATAACAGAGTATGGTTATGTGTCCAAAAACAAGAGTTTTAAAAAGTCGTGAGCTGTAGAATAGAACCGTTCAGCTCTTCGTCGTGGCGCCCTTCAAATGTCTTGAACTGAAGTTTACATCGTTCTAAAGCGGGATCGGTTCGGACAGGCCGAATTATTCCCGCCTGGCCGGTTCCAGGAGAGCGCGGCTTTCTAGCCTCCCGGACGCTTGTTGAATTACCTCGCCGCCCGCCCTCCTACCTTCGCAAATCCGCCTCGCGGCCTTGGGCGCACGGAGACACCGAGGGAGTTGCCGCTCTTTCCATAAGGCGCGTCCCAAGGCTCCTGCCTTGGCCTGGGAGAAGAAGGACTCGCCGTGTTAGGCCGCCGCCGTGTTCGCGGATACCTGGGATCTTGGGCTGGGCTGGAAAAGCCACGGCCCCACTCTCTTCCCTGCGCCTCGCCAGGCCAGCCCGAAGAGACATTGTGTGTGTGTGTGTGTGTGTGTGTGTGTGTGAGAGAGAGAGAGAGAGAGAGAGAGAGAGAGAGAGAGAGAGAGAGAGAGAGAGAGAGATTTGCAGTCTAACAAACTAGAGAGGAAAGCGAAGTCAAAGGGAGTCTGTCCTGGGAGAACAGGCGCCTGGACTGAGGCGATGAGAACGGCTGGGGACACAGCAATCTTGGAAGGGCAAGAAAGCATCTTTATCACTATCGCCCGGTAATTTAACGAGGTGTATACGGAACTCGTCCCATTCACTTTCGCAACCGGGAGTCCTCCACAAGTTGTATGGGCATAGCTGGAGGGCACCAGGAGGGGGAGCAGGGCGTAGATCAAAGAGGCCAGGGTTTCCTATGGTTATTTTGATCATATCATCGTGAAACAATGGCTGAAATCTCTCCAATTGTCTACCTTACAGGGTTTCTGCGATGAGAAAGTGTGGGGGGAGGGGGTCATGTTGGGCATCTTGTTCAACGGATAAATAATTTTGCATTCAAAATTATTAAAATACCCTGGAGGGATGAATGCCTTCGTGTGCAGGATCCTGGTTATCTTCTTTCCAGATACTCGGAAACACTCTTCTATTTAATGCAACAGCAGTGCCCCTAGTCTGCTTCCCGACTGCTCCTGAAACGCTTCAGGCCAGTTAGGACAATCTTTGTGAAATTCGAATCAAGGGTCACCTGGTTGCTCCACAAGCCTTTTGAAAAGAGGCAGTTAACAAACAGCCCCTCGATGTATATTGGGCTATCTTTGCTGCCCTGGAAAGAGCACTCTGCACCTGGTCAGAAGAATCACCATCTTCCTACATCTTGCATCTCAATAGGGCCAGTCCTTTGCTTGAAAGGGGCATCTGTAGAGTGTGGTTAAAAAAGGCCAAGGTGGTGCCATAATGGTGTGACCAAAGCAATATTCATGAAAAAAACAAGCAGAGGTTCAGTTGATTTATTGATTGATTAATAAATAAAATTTATCATGCCAGACAAATCTTATTTCATTCTTTGGCAAAGTGATTAAATTAGTGGACCAGCAAAATGCTGGGAACATAATATACCTAGACTTCAGTAAGTATTTGACAAAGTAGACCACAACCTACAATTTAATGTGGGTTGACAGCATTCCCACCAGTTGAATTCATAACTGATTGACCAACTGCACTCAACATGTAGTCTTTAATGGAACTGCATCTACATGAAGGGAAGTATGCGGTGGAATACCTCAAAGTTCTGTCTTATGCCTGGTACTCTTTAACATCTTCATAAATGATTTAGATAAGGGGATAGGAGGAGAAATCAAATTTCCAAATATATCAAGCTGACAAGAATAGTTAACACTCCAGAAGATAGGTTCACGATCCAGAAGGATCTTGGTAGACTTGAACACTGGGCCTTGTCCAACAATTCAATGTAAGAAAAGTAAAGTTTTACACTTAGGAAAAAACAAATGCACAGGTACAGTATAAGTGGTACCTTACTCAACAGCAGTAACGTGAGAGGGATCTAGGAGTCCTAATAGTGGGCCACCACTTAAATATAAGCCAGCAGGGTGCTGCAGCTGCCAGAAAGCCAATGTAGTCCTAGGCTGCATAACAGAGGGATAGAATCCAGATCACAGGAAATGTTAGTACCACTTTATAACTCCTTGGTAAGGCCACACTTAGAATACTGCATGCAGTTTTGGTCACTACAATACAAAAATGTTGAGACTCTAGAAAGAGAAGAGCAGCAAAGATGATACTGAGACTGGAAGCTAAAACATATGAAGAACAGTTTCAGGAACTGGGTATGTCTGGTCCAATGAAGAGAAGGACTAGGATGATATGATTGCAGCCTTCCAATATCTAAGGAGCTTCCACAAAGAAGAGGGAGTCAATTTATTTTCCAAGCCATCTGAAGGCAGAACAGGAAGCAAAAGATGGAAACTTATTAAGGAGAGATCCAACCTAGGAATAAGGAGTGATAGTGAGAAGTATTAATCAATGGGATGGCCTGCCTTTAAAAGTTTTGGGTGCTTCATTGCTGGAGGGCTAAGGAGAAATTTCCTGATAGTTAGAACAATTAACCAGTGGAACAACCTGCCTCCAGAAGCTGTGAATGCTCCAACACTGGAAGTTTTTAAGAAGAGATTGGACAGCCATTTGTCTGAAATGGTATAAGGTCTAGCAAGGGACTAGAAGACCACCAAGGTCTCTTCCAACTCTGTTATTATGTTATTCTGATTGCACCACCATAGATGCCATCTCGACTTTTTTTAACGAATCTTGTAGTGGAGAAAATAAACCTAGCAAACAAAATGGAGGTGGTAATCTTTTCCTGCCTGTCTTTTAGATATGACCAGGATCAAGCCCAGTTCTTTTCTTTGCCTAATTCTGTCAGACCCTAATTGATCTTCCATGCTCCAGAAAAACCTCTGCAATTCTTCCTAAATCAAGGAATAGAAGTGTCCTCACCAGCTCACAGCTCAGCCCAAAAGGAATCTTTATAATGGAATTGCCATTCACGCAAACCCCAAACTTCCATCCTTCATCAAATGATGACCCCAAGCTTCCCTCTCCTTTAACAAGGGACTTCCCAGCTCTTCTGCCCTCCTGAAAGACCCATTGCCTGGTGGTAGAACTCATCCAAGTACATCACAAGGACCTGCCTAGCTTCCCCAAACTATCCAACCAAATAAATCCGTAAGATTTCCCACCTTGTAGCCCTAAATTTCTGTAAAAGTATTTCCTTTTCCATTTTTTAAGGTCATCTTCCTTATAAAACAGAACCCAACAATGGTTGCAATTAACATGGACCTCCTCAGTGTTGTGCTCCTTGCTTCAGTAATTTCCATGACACACCCTGCAGCCCCCTCCCCACTTGAAAAGACACTAGTGCTAAGGGGGAGGGTTTTTTCACACCTTCTGAGGAGAACTAATGTTCCTTTCCTTGAGAGAGGCAGTGTTACTCAAGTACCATCAGGGATCTGCTGCAAAGACTTTTCTAAATGATGGGGGCCTTCAAGAATCTCCCCAGAGTAAGGCCAAAGACAATTGAAAATTATCAAGGACAGGCCTGATCAGCAAAAATGTGAAGTTGGGATCAACAGCTGTTTCTTTCCCCCCCCTACCCCCACCCCATCAAAATGATCAGATGGCTCATTACTTTTTATTTGGGTCAACACAAGGAATTAGTAACAAAATTTGTATTTCTTGGATTTTGCCTCCCCGCACTCTCTGCACTCTCTCGTTTATTGAACAATTGTCTTTAATAGATCATAAAAAGGGGAAAAATAATCTTGATGTCAATTGCAAGAGACGGTAGGTAGGTTCAAATGAGCGTACTATCCCCGAGGCCTCTGTGGACCTTAAAAAGGCCCAGCTCAAATCAGGGTCACAGTGTATTTAGACTGAAGGGCATTTAAGAGTGGATGCTCCATTACTCTTTTCTAGCCCCAACATGCAGGTTTGCTATGAAAATGAAAAGAAAGGGGAATAAAAGACCAGGCTGCTCCTCTGTCACTTTACAGTATAAGGGACTGAAAACATAAAGACAATGAAATGGAGCTTGCTGAGAAGCCTCAGTCCTAGATCTAGACTTAGCTACCAAGTGGTAAGGAGAATAAACTTTGTTTAGACTCAGAGGTACTCTTGACATCTTGGCTAAAGTTTGGGATTGAACATTTCTTTCCCCAGTACCTCTGTGGTCTAAAATGTGCAGACAATGGGACCCTGCTGCATTTCTTCTTCTTTTTTTTATAAAAAGTTTTTTATTTATAAAACAGTTAAAACAAAGATGGACATAACGTAACATTCCAGTGTATATATTCCTAACAATTTGTTCCTCATCATACATATAATTATATATATATATATATATATATATATATATATATATATATATATATACACATATATGCATACAGTATATATACATATTTTTCTATACGATACAGTCTCTAATTTGTTTCTCTATATACTAACATACAGTTTTATATATCTCTATCTTAACACTAACTTAAAATCCGAACAGGTCTCCTTGATTCACATCAACAATAGAATTTGTCTCAGATTTCAAACTAATCTGACTCTGTCTTGTCCTTCATTTCCATTGTGAGCCTATCCATATCAGCACATGATAGGATTTTATATAAAATCTCTTCTTCTGTTGGAATTTCTTTATTCCCCCAGTTTTGTGTGTACGCCAATCTAGTAGCCATGAGAATATGTAGCATCAAGTAAAGTATCCCTTTGTCGTATTTCTGCGTAGTTATGCCTAGTAGGAAGAGTTCTGGTTTTAGCTCTACCTCTATCATTAGTATTTCTTCCAGCCATTTTTTTAACCTTGTTCCAAAAGTCACGGGCTTTTGAGCACTCCCACCACGTGTGGTAATATATCCCTCTTGCCAATTTACATTTCCAGCACGTGGAAGAAATATTTGGACCCATTTTAGCTAATCTTGTGGGTGGGAGATGCTGCATTTCTTCTATCTGAGCTCTACACCGATAAAAACAGGTGGTATTTCAGTTGTAAGGCTGTGGCTGCCGTTTTTGGACCACACATAGAAGATATTTTTATTAGAAGTCCAAGGTATAAACTCCTTAGCCCTTTCCACTGAGCTAAGACCTATTGCCCAGCCTCACTGGTGTTGCCTTGAATATGGGAGGCTACCTTTTTCTGTCTCAAAGTCCTTTTTCTCCTTATTCCTATAAACCTCTTATCTGAGATATTGCTGAAGCAGGACATAGAAAACGTATTGTCCAGGGGTGGTACTGTAAAATGTGTGGTCAAGGATACAAAGTGGTCCCCCAGTATCCCTCATATGCTCTTCCAAGTGACCCTCATGTGGGTGGGATGAAATATTTAGGATCTTTTTCATTTAACCTAATTAGGGTTACATGATCATGTCATTTCATCTCACGTTAAGCATAAATGATAGCTCTGCTCTCTGCTGGCCTGGACATTGGAATATAGTGTCCAGTTGTGTTCACTATAATACAAAAAGGATGGTGAGAAACTAGAAAGAGTGCC